AAATAGATTGTAATCCACAATATATAACATCACAAGGAGCCATGGGCTAATTGTGGGAAACTTGAAATTAAACGCGACCAGGTCTTAAACTTTATTTTTCACTGACCTAAAACCGCCAATAACTCAAGAATACACAAATTCATTAATTATTCCTCAAAGAATAGTTCTTGACAAAATATATTAATAATTGTTTTTGTTGTTGTTGTAGCAGTTTATATGAATTGTATGTTTCCTGTTAAGTATCCTCCAATCCACTGCACCATCCAGAACGTAACTGAGCCAAAACTACTCTGGTTTGTCTCGGCAGCTGACGTTCTTCAGCTACTATGGGTGGGGGTGAGCTCCGAGGACGTCATTCACTTTGTAACCGTTCAGCGCTGCGGCTACTGCATCTGTGTGAATGCCATTCAGATCTGCTCGATAGGCAACTTGATCTAGAGGCTTCCTTTTGTATCGTTGGACCTCTCTCTCTAGATCATTCAGATCCTTCCTGACACGCCTAGGTGGAGGAGTCCTATCCACCATATGATGGTTGGGATGATCGTCCCTGAAACACCCAAGCAGGTACTGCAACGAAAGCATATTGCTATGCTGACGTACGGGAAGGATCTTCGTCTCCTCATGAAGATGGTCCACTGGTGTCATGAGGAGGCACCCTGTCGCTGTCCTCAGGGCGGCATTCTGACAGTCTGAATATTTCTCCATTGCGTATCACTGGAATTCGCAGACCACACTGGAACCGCATAGCTAGCCACAGACCGACCTATCGCTTTGTAAGAGGTCAACAAGGTTTCCTTATCTGCGCCTCAAGTGCTGCCGGCAAGCGACTTGAGGACCTTGTGCGGACGATTTGAACATGCTGTCGAATGTGACCCCGAGTATTTTGGGGTAGTTGGTGGTCGGAATTGTATGCCCCTCGACCTGCACATTTAACGGCATTCTCATCTCCGCAGTCCATGTGGTGATAGTGTGGCTGACGACTTCGAGGCGGATATTTTCATATTCCTCGCTTTGAAGAAAGCTGCTAAGTCGATGAGATAGGCGTTCAACCTCACACATATGTCTTCAACAATGGAACCCGACGCCATAATCGTACAATCATCTGCATACGTAACGATTTCAATGCCGTCCGGAGGGCGTGGAATACCGGAAAGGTAGAGGTTAAACAGTTCCGGAGAAATCACTCCACCCTGGGGAACTCCCTGTTTAACTCTACGGGACTTTGGACTTCTTGTTCCGGAACTCCACGTACGACTGGAGTCCACACATATAGTTGATTATCAAACGTTTCAAACTCGGCCGGAGGGAAGTGTTCTCTATGTCCTCAAACAGCGTGGCATGGTTGACAGTATCAAAGGCTTTTGATAGGTCAAGCGCTACCAACACTGTTCTATAGCACGGCCGGTTCTGGTTAAGTTCTCTACTTATATGTGTGGAAATGGCGTGCAACGCTGTTGTTGTACTGTGTTGCTTACGGAATCCATGTTGATGATCCGCAACTGGATAGCTTCCTCTAATGCTGGGGAGGAGTAAATCCTCAAGGGTCTTCGCTACTGGCGACAAAAGTGAAATCGGTCTGTACGATTCACCTTTGCTGGCATCCTTGCCCGGCTTCAGTAGCGGGACCACCCTGCCCATAGGCCAGGCTTCGGCCTATGGGCAGGGTGGTTCCCCACGTCGTGGCTATCGACAAGTTGAGGACGTTGGTCAAGTACTCGACTCCTGGCTCGTCCAGCTGCTTGTTGTTTGTTTTGTTTTTTTTTTTTTGTATTTTTTTTTTGTTTATTTTATTGTTTTTGTTTATTTTTGTCAAAAACTTATTGTCAGCATGACAATTCGACGTTTTTCACCACAAAAGTAGAACACATGTTGTTATATGAATGTTACCGAAATACGGCGACGTACGAAATTTCAAATTTCAATTTCGAAATTCAACTATGACAGAACGTAGTTTTGTTTTTTTCCTTTGTTGAAAATAGAAACAAAACATAAAGAACACATATTTTTTCAATAAGAATAGGAAATATGTTAACACCTATTACAATATTTTAAATTTGTTTCGCGGTTTTGATTAGTTTGCTAAGAGATATGGATTCGACGTATTTGGGTAATACGGCCGTACAAAACATTTTGCCATAGTGGGGAAGTTGAATATTTTTGTACGCTTCGTTGGATTTTAGGTAACGTTGTATCATTGCATAATAACAGAAGGTAGTCTCGTTTAAGAAATTGATAATGGCAACTCTTTTTAGTGTGGAAATCATAAATCAATTTTAAATACATTTTTTCATTTGCAGCCTTACCTAAGTCCCAATTTATATTATGCGAGTTTAATTGCGACAAGTCTTTGTTTAAAGGAGAGAGGGGCAAAGGGAATAGAACTTGAAAAAAATTGCTCGTACCGACAATTTTCTCGCAGTTCGTTTTGTGCATTTTGTTTGTAGTGTCAGTAATTTAAAATACCAATCCAGAACATTGTCAAAAATATATATATATTTTTGAAATCGAATTGCCTAGTATAGACGAATGAAGCAAGTTCAAAAGAGAACGATAAAAATTGCCGCAAGTAAATTCGCCTAATATAAATCAGGACTAAAATTCAACTAGCTCGTTCGACGCTTTTCACCACAAAGGTAGAATACATGTATTTATATGAATGTTACCGAAATACGTCGAACGTACAAAATTTCAACTTTGACAGAACGTATTTTTTCATTTTTTCTTTTGTTGAGGAAATATGAAATTTCGAATGGAAACTTAAAATATTTGGATTAATTTAAAAAATTTTCAATTTTATTTGCGGTTTGTATTATTCGCTTGAAGATATGGATTCGATGTATTTGGGTAATACGGCCATACACAACATTTTGCCTTAATGGGGAAGTTGAATGAGACTACCTTGTATAATTATGCATGAGACTACCTTGTATAATTATGCCACGATTTCGAACGAAGCAAAGTTTTTTTTAGATGTATTAAGGGCCCCATACACTATAAATCATGCCGTCATGCCGATGAACCCCTTTTTGTATATGTGAGATTGACTAGTGTATGGCAAACTCTTCAATCACTATTCCAAAAAATCGATGTTTGTCCCAAAAATTGCATTTTGAGTCGTAAATTCAGCTGTTTTTTTATTCCGTCACAATTCTATTATTTTTGTACACAAAACTATTTACTGACAACATTCAAAATGAATATTATTCACCAGATTGATAGGGTTTCATTTTCAAAATCAAAACTATTTTGATTTTCTTCATGCATTGTGTGTGTCACACATACATAAATAAACTTTCAAAAAATAACACATACTATTATAAATGCTGTACGGCATGATGTATAGTGTATGGGGCCCTTTAGGTAGTCGCATCGACCCAGTTGTTTGTAACATTAATTGTCAAAACAAATTGTTGTAAATTTTAATTCGCCTTAAATACATAAAAAAATATTTTTTTTAATAACATTTAAATTTCGTGAGTTTTTCTAATTTTACTTCGAGAGAACCAACAAAATGTTGGTTAATTTGTCCCGCTAAATATTGACCGATCATCATGAAAATATCCTTCTTATTCGTTTGCCTGACCCCCTTCTGCGTATAATTTCGTGGTTTTCGGGTCATAATTCTGTAAATATAAACCAATCACTACCAAAACCAATAAAAGTCATCTTAAGCAAGAACCGAATCTACATGAAAAATCTCCAGAACTCAACAATGGAACTTATTGAAAGATGCCGACACAGAAAATTTGTTTTGTTTTTAAATTATGATGGACAGACGGACACACATGACTACAACGATTCTGCTAGTTGAGAGATGATAAACGATATACGAAAAGGATCTAGAATCAATATATCGTGCAGCTACAAACTCTTGAGACAACACATACTTATAACATAGAGGTATAGGGCATAAAACATTTTGTTATGATTGGTTGAATCAAATTTGCTTAAATTTTGATATGTCAAGGCGAATTGAATTTTGTTTGCCTTGTTTACAAATTTTGACATATAATGTTACCAAAAAAGTTGCTTTTTTTAGTAATTCGCCGATGCGACTACCTAATATATGTGCCTTGATAAATTCCATAAAATTTTATGTATGTATGTCGATTGACATTTTTCGTCAAATTAAAAAATAATATTTTCTAAGGCTCTACATTGTTCTCAACAGCCTTACCTAAAATTCAACTAGCTCGTTCGACGTTTTTCACCACAAAAGTAGAACACATGTATTTATATAAATGTTACCGAAATACGTCGAACGTACAAAATTTCAAGTTGAACAATTTCAACTTTGACAGAACGTATTTTTAATTTTTTTCCTTCGGTGAAAACAAAAACAAAACATTCTGGAAATTTGAAATTTCGAATGGGAACTAAAAATTCGTGGATTAATTTAATAAATTTTCAATTTTGTTTTTGCAAAATAGTCAGGCTTAATCCCAGTTTGTTGTATAGTCTTCCCTGCCTTACCCCTCGGCGGACAATGCCATACATTCCCCACTAATAAATAGTTGTTTTTTATAAAAACAACAAACTGGGATTAAGCCTGACTATTTTGTAAAAAACAAAATAGAAATGGTATCCCAAATAACTCGCCAACACTACTGAATTTTCAATTTTGTTGTGCGGTTTGTATTATTTGCTTGAAGATATGAATTCGACGTATTTGGGTAATACGGCCGTAAACAACATTTTGCAAAAGTGGGGAAGTTGAATATTTTTGTACGCCCCGTCGGATTTTAGGTAACGTTGCAAGATTTAACAATGAATGTTGCAAATTTTTATTTACATATATCTTTTAGAGGCAGGGAGTCAATTCTTCCCATACAAGTCAAGAACGATTTTACGTGAATGTCAAACTAATGGGGTTTTTAAACCCAATGCCCAGTTTCTTGTAACTCGGAATCCGACAACCCTAGTTGGGGACATACGTTAAGTATGCCGATAGGTGACATGTCCCTAAGTGATAACTGTTTACATTCCGATTTTCAAGAGATTGTAAGTTCTTACCTTTACTTGTAATGTTATTGCATTTGATATGTTGGTCCATTGTTTGCATTGATCGTTCCATAAATAATCGCATTTGATTGTTGGCATATTGAGGGTGAATCCATGATTTAGATCGATGTAAATAATAAGTGCACGCTCGCTGGTGTTGGTCATCTCCATGGTCATCTTGGGATCGGGGGTGCTCACATCCTTGTCTTTTGGGGTTAGCGGTCGCCGAGCGGCTAATGTGTGAGGGAGGAAATCTACATGTAGTGGTCTCCAGGGAACATCGGCTATCAGTAACCAAACCCCGCCGATCCGTGTCCAGTCATCGAGGGTGTAACGCTGCTAACTATACCTAATTGTGTTGATGCATTAGTTGATTGTCATTGTTGTTGTGCAGCAAATTTCATACGTTTTTGTTTTTGTCTCTGATTACAGAACCAGACTCGTACCACATTCTTCTTCAGGTCCAGCTTCTCGGCAATGGCAGCTATCTTCTCACCAGACGGCCTCGGTTGAACGGCAAAGTACGCTTCCAGAGATCGCTTTTCAGGTGCCGCAATGGAAGTCCTTTTTCTTGAAAAAAGACTCGATATAGATTACTTTAGAAAAACAAACCAAAAAAAGCAAGTGTCTAGTATGGGCAAATGCATGTGGAATAATAGGTTGAGATGTTGACTCATGGTAAATAGTACGGATACATATGTAGTACAATTATTGGTAGACCTAAATATATGTACAGGTGCAACAAAATGTTATGTGTGAACAGAGTTTATTAAGAATTCGTCACTTGAAATGATAATGTTACGATAATTTGAGTACCCATAATGTCATGCAGATTTTAAAATGCATCAGCATAATTATTGTCAGCATAAGTATTTAAGTAATAATGCAGATTAAAAAATGTTTAAAATATCTAAAGTGGCTATTACGAAGGTGAGTTCTTTGTAATTATAGAAATTGGTCATTAGATTTATAATTTGCCTTCGATTGAAGAAATAACTCAAATACTACGTCTGCATACAACAAATTCGGGTAATGGTAATCTGTTGAAGTAAATCGAGAATGTACCAATACAGACAATTTTCAAGGATATTTTTTAGTCAATGGATAAAAGAAATATTAATTTAACGAACAAATGGCCAGAGTCAACATGTTCAGGAACGTTTCTAAGAAAATATGAACGTATTGCCATTTTTTATAAGAAATTTACAATAAATTCATTCACTTTATCTCAATAATATGCTTTTAACCGGCATTTATATTAGAACTTTTTGTCGGGTTAACCTTCTCTATGAGGATTTAATTATATATGTCAAATGAAATGATGTAAACTTACTATAATATGTTAGAATATATATATATATATATATAAATCAATTTGTTGCACCGTAGATACATTTAAATGTATGTTTATATGTGTTTTGTGATAGTATCGCAACTCCAGTTGTTAAGGATTTTTAATTTATTGCATTCGAAATATTACGAAGAATTCCAATTGAATAGCCCAATACTTATCACACGACTTTCCGAATTAAATTTCCACTGGAGTCACGTAGATCATGTCTTTTGTTAAGCAACATTAACCAGAACGCTGTCTACCTTTTCTTTTCGCCCGCCGGAAGTACACTTGGGGCATCAGGGTCTCTTCGTTTATTTTTCGCCTGTGCCTCCGCCTCCTCTAACCAAGCCTGTAAGATGGGCTTAAGGGCTATCATATTATTGTGCGACAATGTGAGACTTTCAAAGCGACATATTGTACTTTGTGAGAGGGCCCCAACTCCAGGTAACTTTAAATTCGCTAGTGCTTTACCGACATCGGCTTGTGTGACACCTGCAATGAAGTCGATTAACATTGTTGAAACAATAGATCAAATATATTGGCTTGGAGCTTGGGCGATATCGGCGAGAATGTCTATATAATCACCTAATTTTATCCTTCGTTGCTTAAATCTCTCCGCAAATGCTTCAAGTTCTCTAGGATCTGTATCGGTATCAGGATGGAGGCCCGCCGCCGCAACAGCTGCCGTTATCACAGGATGATGTACTGCCGAATGACCATGATGTCCTACGGGTTTAAAGTAAATGGCATTAATGATTAAATTGTCAAATATTTTATTAGAACTGCATAATATACTGTAAGAGTCCTCTTTGTTTTCAATAAGCATACCCGCAGAGTGTCCACTTAAACCGCTCGGATGATGATGACCCATCATATGGTTCATACTGTGATAGGATCCGTGCAAATGCTGGTGCGTAGGCGTTAATGGCGTTTCTGAAATGGGTGCTAACGTTGTCATCGAGCCCGTTGGATCCAACATATCTAACTGATCCATTGTGGGATGCATCTGAAACAATTTGAAGTTAAACATTAAAAGAAGAAATTAAAATGGTGATATCAGAATGAACGGAATTTATCAATGTCCATATGAGTCGATTATTTTCTAATTCTTTTCGAATTAAAATTCTTTATAAAGTACCAATATCTATATTCTTAATAATGTACCAATAACTAGTTGATCGAAGAACGTAAAGTTGTAAGCTCCATGGAATTCGAAATCATTGCCGGTCAAAGAAAAACATCAGAACAAAAAATGATTTAGATAAAAATCTGAATACAAACGTGTCCAAAAATGTAAATGCAGAATTAAGAGTGATCGTAATGTAATTGGTAGTGTCTTCGGAGGCTTGCCTGGTTTACCCGAAAACAAAAATATGGGATGTTGGAGAGTAGACATTTTTAATATATTAAATGTATAAAATTATTAAATATTCGAATGAAAATTGTTTAGTTGGAATCAAACAAAAAATTCGTGGGAAACTATGCAATTTTCTTTCCATATAACAAAATGTTAGCTTTACCATTGTAACCAGGGGATTTAATTATTGGAGCATTTACCCTGATAAATTTTAAAATGTTTTAATGGACGTGTACGGATTATTTATGCCATTCATAAAATATTTCGATGGTTTTTGGATGCAGAAGGTAGAAAAATTTAAAAATCTATTGTTTATCTGAAAAAAATTAACTAAACATCATTTGGAGATTGGAATGCAGAACATTTGCGTCTGCAAAAACAAAATTCGAACTACCTCTGCAGTAAATACGTATAATGGAGTGTTGGGATAAACTTTGAAAAGGTCACTTTTTTCTTAAAATAATAAAAAAAATAATACAATTATATGATATAAAAACGATTTATTTGTGGATATATTTCATTTTCATAATGAAACAAATCCAACTTTCTGTACGCCCCGTCGGATTATAATTAACGTTGTAATTCAATTAATATAGTCAGTAATGGAAGCAGCCTGCAAATATTTTTTAATTTGGAACAGGTTCCTCGGAATAGATTAGGTTTATGTTTCACTCTAAGAATTAATATTTAAGTTTAAATTTCAATTAATTTATAATAATTAACAATTTAAAAATTTCAACTAATACATTTGATTTTCAATTAAACAATGAAATTCGAAGTGACAGCATTTATTTGCATCATTCGTGTAACCGTGGCTGCTAACATTAATTCAATTTTATTTCTATTTTATTAATAATTTAGCTATTTAAATATACAATCATAAAATAGGAAAATGTAAATTTTCGCTTTTTTCATACATCTCAAAATGTACAAATGCCGAAATAAAAAACACACTACTACAGTGGTACACCACTGTATTCAAAGTGGTCCTATCCTAAATAACTTGTACAATTTTTAAATTCATGAAAAAAATTAAACTGTAAACTCTGGAATACCCAATAATTATTGATTGAAGTCTTTTTCCATTATAATATTATCTATACATATTATCTGTACATCTTGATTAGGCATTTAAGAAAAAAATAAAATAATTGTTTTCAAAAATTCAAAATTGTGTTTTGACTGACGAAAGAAATAAATGCATATTATTTAAATATTCGCCATTCGTTTAGGGGGATATTGTATTTTTTTAGTAAAAAAATTGTTTTGCCATTCATTTAATATTATGTAACCACATAATTGCTCAATTATAATTATATTCGAATTACTTATTAGAGTTCATTTATTTGAATATCATCTATACCCAAATGTATGTATTTATGTGTGTGTGCAGTTGTGTCTATTTCATTGTTTAGTGTATGAGCGTACTTAAATTAATTACTAATTTTACTTTAAAATTGTTTTTACATAGTTAAATACTAAACACTCACACACACAACCATACATATATCACACAAAATTACAATTTCGAATATCCAGGAGGAAATAAATTGACACATAGTAGATGGGGACAGGATTATAAAACGAGAGTAAGGGGAACTCACATAAATTCTGCACACAGTGCGAAAGAGATGGAGCAAGAAAGGGAGAGAGAGATATTCATACATATACAGTGAGCGAGGAATTGAAATGAATAGGGGGCGAAATGGATAGCGGGCGGCAAAGGGCAATAACAATAAGACAACAATAATACATAATGTCGTTAAAGTGGAGCTCTTCAATTATAAACCAATCCCAAAATTAGAAAGGCTTTTATTGGTTTCACCCTTGGCTCTATCTATTCGAAATGAGGCTTTATTTATGCACAAGGCACAGGATTGCCAGTGTGTGTATCTCTTGGTGTCGTCTGATGGGAGCCAGTCAGTACGCCGTCGCACAAAATTTGCAACCCCTTGTTTTATATCACTTAAAAAAAAACTCAAATCTCAACTATTCTACGAGTACTACAGGGGCTGTACACACATACACACACCATCCATTTATATATACACACACACACAGAGGCACACATTCAGGCAAACAGAGGGAAATCATTTGAATCTGGTCTGTGGTTGGCTAGAGTGGCTGTAAAATGTCAGATGATGGGAATGTTCGTTTAGAATTGAATCAAATCTTTGTTGTTGATGGGCTTTGCTGCTGTTTTTGTTGTTGTTGGTGTTCTCGCTGTTGTTATTGTGCCGCTTTCACCATGAAAATCAGCAGAGGCAAAATAACAAAAACAACAACAACAAAAACCTTACAAAGGACTAACAATGAATGCATTTTCATTGGGAGTTCCATAAAGAATTCCATGTTTCACAGTGTACAACAATATTGATAAGAATTTAAACACACATACAAACGCACACAAACCCATACACACATATATACATAGTAAAATGCCTACAAAAGCCTACACTTAACCAACTGTGATGTGTACATACAGACACATATACACGTATTTATATACATACATACAAACATACATGGTATATAAGTCGATGAATTTAACGAACAAATATTGCGACACGTAAAGAATAGAGAAATTGTTCTTTACATGAGAACATGGACCAAACCATTTTTCGTCGATTGTATAACCCCACCATCACTTTAGTTGGAACATATTGTATTCAAACTCCACAATATGTAAATATATGTATATAAATGTATATACACTATGTATATGTATAAATATTGGGAAAAAACATACAAGTTCAAAGTGCATACAGTCAAATTCGCCTATTGGTAACAATGAATAATATCGATCCATGTCTATATAAACAGCTGATAATTATGGTTGTTTTAAAATATATATGGATATCATCTTATTTGCGAAATAGATCACAGGTAGTTATGTTTGATGATTGTCACTCCAAATCCATTGATGTTCCTTCCCCAAGGAAGTCATTTAGGCCCACTCCTCTTTCTTCTATTTATAATGATTTGCCAAATGTAATCATCCATTCCAAGTTGCTAAAGTATGCAGATGATGTCAAGTTGTTTATCACCCATAATTCTATGAAGCAATTTGATATACTTCAAAACAATTTAAATAGCTCTTTTCAATGGTACGAATTAAACTGTATGGATCTAAACCTAAGCAAATGTAAGCATATGTGTTTTTCCAGATCTTCTACTTTAACAAGGCAATACAATATTAATGGTACTGTTTTATCAACTGTAGATTCATTTGTTGATCTTGGTATTTAAATGTTTCCAAAATTAAATTTTAATAATCATATAATTTCTATGGTAAATAAAGCCCACGGTGTCTTAGGATTTATAAAACGATGGGCTTAAGGATTCTCTGATCCCTACATTACAAAACAACTTTTTAAATCTCTTGTGCGACCCATATTAGAATATGGCTCTGTTGTATGGGATCCCCGATAAAATTGAATCAGTGCCGAAACAATTTCTACTTTTTGTACTGAGAGGTTTACATTGGAATAGTGACTTTGTGTTGCCTTCTTACACTAGAACTTAAAATTAATTCGATTGCCTACATTAAAAATTAGACGTATTATGTTGAACACTATGATGACAATTAAAATATTAAACGGTATTATAACCTCAGACTTCCTAATTTCCTCCATAAGAATAAATGTTCCTTTTCGATCCAGTAAATATTATCAACCATTATACGTAGATTTTCATCGCACAAATTATTCTATGGGAGATCCACTTAGTAAAATGTGTATTGATTTCCATTCGGTGTATTTTAACGTAGACTTTTGCATGAATATAAAACTAATAAAATTTAATATAATTGTATTTTTAAATGAATAATACAACATAATAACTGGATGTTGAAGTAGGTTTCTGTAGCTGGTTTTCTATCCCTTCTCATATTCCACCAAAGTTGCGGATTATGGTGTGTCGGCAGGGGTGGGAAAGTAAGGCATGGGAGCGTTCGAAAAAAATAATAAATATTACTATAATTTAGGACAACAAATGTTTTTATGCATTTCTGACCTATAGGATAGCAATTCCTAACAAAATTATGAAAATATTGATTAAAAATTGCCACAGAAGTCAGCAAAGTAATGCAATGTGTGTTTATACGTAAACAAATAACAGCTGACAAATCCACTTCATTTCATTTAATACTAGTCTAAACAGTTAGGATTTGATATCTCGATTTACAAATCGAGTCGATAGTCTAAAATCGGTTTAATGTATTTTTGGTTAAATACAACATATTAATGCACCGCAATACAATAGTTGTGTACCTGCAATTTTTTTTTTGTTCCCGAAACTGAAAATGATTATGAATTCAGGATATTTTTGAACAAACCTCATAATATATCTCAAACATTGACATTTATTTTTCAATTGCCATTTCGTTAACTTGAAAATATTTCACCTCACTAGATCCAACGATTATTCCTACTCTGTTCGACATGAACCTTTGCATCCCAGTGGGATTCCTCTACAATTTTTTACCCAAGGTATAATCTGGCCTTGCACTCCTATATTTAAAAAAAATGAATAAAGCAATGATGTGATGTCTGTGAACACTGTTATTTTTATAATAGTTTAACGATATGTGAAAGGACATTGAGAAGAATACAAATTATACTATCATGTAATTATAATTATTCGAAAAC